ACAACAACAACAACAAATGGAATTTAGTTCAAAACCCCACTGCGATCAAATTGATGCAACTCAGAATGACCGCACGTTGTTGTTGTTATGTGCCATGGAGTCTGTTCCAACCCATAGCGACCCTGTGCAGGGTTTCCAAGGTTGTAAATCTTTACGGGAGCAGAAAGTCTCATCTTTCTCCCGCGGAACAGCTGGTAGTTTCGAACTACTGTCCTTGAAGTTCGCAGCCCAATTCATAACCACTACGCTACCAGAACTCCTTAGGACTGAGTAAAAGTGCTCTTGGGGTCCCGAGATTGTCAGTTCCCGCAGGACCAGAGGAGCCCTGGCATGGAGCTGCAGGTTCACGTGCTGGACTGCACTCCTTGGAAGCTCTATACAGGTTCACTGTAAGTTGGAGCCAACTTGCCAGCACTTAAAGAACAGAGAGATACTCAAATACCAGGAGCCCTGGGGGTGCAGTGGTTAAGCACTCAGCTGCTACACCTAAAAGCTGGAGGTTTGACTCTGTAGCTGCTCTCTGGGAAACAGGCATGGTAGTTTGCTCCCTTTAATGACTGTTGTTGTTAGGTGCCATTGAGTCAGTACCGACTCATAGCGAGTTTATGCACAGCAGAACGAAACACTGCCTGATCGTGGGCCAATGTCACTATTGTTGCCATGCTTGAGTCCATTGATGCTATTTGGCCAATCCATCTTATTTGGGGGTCTTCCTCTTTTTCTGACCCGATTACAGAGTCGGAAATCCTGTGGAGCAGTTCTACACTATCTGGTTAGAGTCCTCATGAGTGGGAATCTACTTAACAGTACTAAGTATTTTATATTCAAATACTGACATGTTAATAAACACTTTTCACTTTTTTCTTAAAACTGTGTCAACACAATAGTCCAGGTGTTGGGGAGGGCAATACAAAAGAAGGGGAAGGGGAATAGAAGAACAAGGCACATAGGAGAACATTTAGGCAGGTTTGCGTGGGCTAATTGCAGAAGTAAATAATGACGTATGCTCAACCTTGGAACAGGGCTCTGTGATACAGGGATTGAGGCATAGTCCGAATGAGTAAAAGAGTGGAAATAATGTTAAGATGCTTGTCTTATGAACCTTAGGTTTCCCTTGCCTACTATTGTAAAATAGGCACTTGAGCGGGAGGGAAAGGAGTAGCCAGAAACATGTTTATAGAAAGCTTTTAAATCCATCTTCAGCCTATAACTGATTGTTATGTGCTGTGGAGTCCATTCCAACTCATAGCGACCCTGTACAGGGTTTCCAAGGCTGTAAATCTTTACGGGAGTGGAAA